CTCCAAAGCAACCCAGACTCTTTATCTCAAGGTCATTACTGGTGATGAGACATGTGCTCTTCGTATGGGCCCGAAAGCAAACACCAATCAAGCCAGTGGGAGACACCATCATCACTTTGCCCCCCAAGCGCGATCAAAGATCATGATGATGCTCACTTTTTTTTTTTTTTTTAATGTTAGGGGGATAGTGCATTTGGAGGTCATTCCACCAGGTCAGACTGTTAATCAAGATTTCTATGGGGAGGTTCTGAAAAGACTGCGTTACAGTGTGCAGCAAAAAAGGCCTGATTTGTGGCAGATGGGGGACTGGTTTTGCCACCACGACAATGCACCTGCTCATGCAGCCATCTCAGTGCGCCAGTTTTTTGGCAAACCCCCCCAAAAAAAACCCAGCATTTCTCTCTTGCCCCATGAACCTAAATCACCTGAACGCATTCTGTGTGACCTCTTTTTGTTTCTGCAAATGAAGAGGGACATGAAAGGACAACAATTTGACTACAAAACGAGGGAGGTGTTGTCAGGCATCCAAACAGATGAGTTTGAAAAATGCTTCCAGGAATGGAATCACAGATTTGACAAATGTATTAAGTATAATGGAGAGTACTTTGAAGGTGAAAGTTGTTTTGTAAAAGAATGTAAATACATAGCTTGTAAAAAAAAATCCGTTTTTTTTTTTTGTGGGGGGGTACACCCTCATACCTAGAATGATACATACAAACAATTATTGGAGGAAGAGGTAAATCTAGTTTATAGATTTAGATAAATAGTGATGACAGGTTAAAGGATGCGTCACTAATTGTTAGAAATACAGAGTCTGTTTTCTCTCCATTTCTTTTCAAAAACAAAACAAAAAATCCTAAACAGTTGTCATTTAATCAACTCCAGCTCAGAGTAGAATTGTGCTCTACAGTGTTTTCATTTGCAGTGACCTCTTAGAAATAGAGTGGCAGGCCATTCTTTCAAAGCACATTGGGTGGATTTGAACCACCACCTTTAGGTTCTTACCCAAATGTACCACCAATAGACTCCTCCATCCCTACTACTATTTCCCTAATCCAGGGATTCAATACCTCTCTTCTATGTAACTTCAGTGGCCTCCCAGCTTTAAGGGGATCTCTTAAAGACTACCTTGTGTCAGAAAATGTCATCTCCATTCATCCAGCTATTTTGGATTGGAAACTTTGGCTTTGTTTAAAATTTTTCCCTTCTCACACTTCACATTTACGCCATCATCAACTCTTGCAGACTCTAGCTCTGAACTGTTTCCAGAATTCAACCACTCTTTACATCGTACTGCAAGCACCTGAAGCCTTCATGTTTTGCCTAGACCACAACAGGGAAAGTGGCCTCTGTTATGCCTCTTGTTCTTAACACTCTTTTCTCTGCTTCCTTTTTAACAATTAAATCTTCTCTCATTTCTGATAAACAATCCCGAGGAGAAAACAATGGGCCAACAGATCCAGGGGGACATGGGATAGAGGGAAGTAGGGGAACGGAAAGGGGGAGCCAACAAACCTAGGGACAAGGGAATGAGTGATCTAAAATTGATGTGTAGACTGCCTGGTGGGGCATGATCAAGCACAATATAGCCAAGAGGAATTACTGAGAACTGAAGGAAGATCGAACATGATAGTGGGACAAGAGGAAAGTAAAAGCAAGTATGGGAAAAAATTAGGAGGCAAAAGACATTTATAGAGGTAAAAACACAGCTGTAAATATATTTATATGTTAAGTATTAAGGTAGCAGACAGACATTGGGCCACTCCTCAAGTCCTCCCTCAACATAAGAATACTCAACAAAGCCCACATGGAAGAAGCACACCAGCCTATGCAACCACGAGGTGTCGAAGGGATCAGGTGTAAGGCATCATCAGAACAAAAA